CCCAGCTCCATGTGCTGCGAGCTGGGCTCCCTTTTGTTCAAATACCTGTAAGCAAATCCAAGCGTTCTTTTTAAGCCCTGAAGCAGAGATTTCCACATTTCCTCTGCAGGGGGGTGCTTAAAGAATGTGTGTTTTCATTAATCCTTGAGGGAATTATCTTCCTGAATGCCATGCTTTTTAGGAGGACCCTTTGCCATCCACCTGCTTCCTCCCCTCCTCAGAAGAGCAAATCTGCCATTCTTCCAGGGCACAGCACTCCCATTTCCTTAGGACAGGTTAATGTGCAGGAAAAGAGATAATGTTCTCAGACCTGGGAGGATTTTAATGGGTTTATTCTATGTATATTTGTGGTCTCCAAAAAGTCCTAAGTAGACTTCTGGGATTTATCCCCAAATAATCCATCGAATTACAACAAAAATAGAGACTCCTTCTCAGGTAATTGTGTCTCAAAGACATTTCTAGTGTCTGTGGAACTGGGGACTCTTGTCTACATGAGTAAATAGGGATTTGGTCTGCAAGGGAAAGTATTTCTAGCGGAATGGAGAAGAAAAGTAATTGAAGAAAGGCACATCTTCATCACACTTCATCATCACATCAAACACTGCAGGGCAGTGTTTCTAACCTAGTGACATCAAAGTGCCTCCAAAGGACTTCCCCTCACTCAAGAGCTTGCTCATCTTCTATGCATATCACCTAACCAGCAGCAGAGATTTGCTGGCAGTTTCACAGGCATTCAATAACCCTCAACTCAGACCCATGTTTGATTCAAAATTCAGCAGCAGGGTCTTTCTCATAGGTACTGCAATTCCATGGAACATGACCTTAGTTCTCTTCTCCTTTTCTTCCACTGACCAGAGCACCCCATGCTAAGGCCCTATCTGCTCATGAACATCTCCTGGTACCTCCAAGCCTGCCATCCAAATCTCCTGAATAGGATCCCAAAGTAAACTGCTTTGAGAGAGCTGGCTGTCCCTACATGGACAATGCAGTCCGTACTTGTAGACACACAACTGAGCATAGCACCACTGGCTATATTATTTCACATTTTACAAGATAAATGTGGTTTTTTTTTCTACAATAGATAAACCACAAGCAAGGTTTATTAGCAAAGGTCAAGGTAATTGATAACAACTATTGTTGATTCCCAAAACAGAAACGCAGAGTCCTCACAACTAGTGCTTCCATTTGGAGTCACATCAAAAGGGAAGTCAGTAGATTTTGGTGAATTTTTTGGATTTTCTCAGTACTTTCAAATATATGTACTTGCTAGCCCTTAGGAAAACTGGTTCTGTTTCTGATATTTTCCTCCATCTAAGAAGAGACAGCCTGCAGCAGCGTTTGCAAGGAGCTCATTGCAGCCACCCAGACGGACATGGGTAGATACAAGGAAAGAGCAAATACTGAGAAAACTGCCCCAAGTGTTCCCAGGAGTGGAAACTCCTCTAATTCCTCCCTCTTGTCAACCAAGGGGGACTAGTTTGTCAGATCGCTGTCCCACATGTCCCAGAACAATTACTATTTCGCTTTAATTAACTCACTGTCTTTCATCCAAGCCATCGCTCAGAGGCAAGTGTGCTACAGAGCTATGAGGTCCCTGAAGTGCTCTGTACCCCAATAGCTCCAGCCAGCTTGTTTCTTTAGTTTACCCAATGATACATAAGGAAACAAAAGTGGAGGGAGTAAAACCCTGTATAGCACTGCACGTTACATGGAGATGTTTCAGCAGAAATGAAGAAGTTAGAGACTTCAATTTCCATGATCTTCTGCAAAGTCGTGACAGGTGACTCAATGGTTTTCCTGTCTATCCAAAGTCAACACAACTCTTCCACACATAATAAATGCCAGCAAGATGTGGAGTTTTTTCCCCTTTCCTGGCTCTCCCAAAACGCATTGATCCCCAGCAGATACAGAAATCACTAACTCTGAATCCCATCCGTTTACTTTCTAGGAAGATCAAATACGTCTTGCCATAGAAAACTTATGTTTGTGAGAGGGTAGTATAAATTTAGCAAGCTCTTAACCATCCCCAAAATTCCACAAGGCAGAAGTTCCTGGATGCTGCCTCATACAAACATACAAAAAGAAGATCTGCACATTCCAGGAACCACTGCATTCACACATTCAGCCTTCGGTCATTGCATATAAAAGATCAATGCCAAAACCTTCTGCTACTTGGTGCTTGTTGTATAGATGTGACACATTCAAAATTTGTGACCCTGATCTGTGGCAATGCACGGACAGGGGTGTCGTGTACATTGTCAATGAGGAGTCCCCAGTTAGGCACTGAACTCCGTTAGATCTGAGTTAGTTTAGGCTGTGGCTATGATTAGTTGCCCCCTTTTTCTCAGACTCTCCAGCTCCCAGCCTGTGGAAGTGACTGATCTCTGTCAGCTCTCTGTTGCTGCTTCCCATGTCTGCGGGATGGATTTCTGTGGCACTGACACTGACTGGGCTCAGTTCTCTTTTTTCCAAGACTAGCACTTTTTGTTAGTTTCGTCTTAAAAAAAAAAAAAAGAGAGAGAGAGAAAAAAAGAAAAGAAAGAAAGAAATAGAAAGAAAAGAAGGAAAAAGAAGAAAAAAGATAAAAACACAGCAACTTTCTCTAATTTTAATTCCCTTCCAGCTGTTTGTCAAAAGCCCTCTATGTTCTGTTCTCAGAGCACTTTAGGACGTTCTGAAATTCATCACAGAGGGGATAGTATCTCTTTGGGCTTGGCCTGCATCTTGTTTCCTTGAGAGCTGACTCTGGGTCCGACCAGCAGCTGAACTACTGGAAGTACAGGCTGGAAGTGTGAGATGATTGAAGACCATCAGCCAAAAAGAAAATTTAGATCTATGGCTACACCAATCCTCAGATTAACACTATCAAAGTAAACGGTGTTTATAGGAAGTCTCGTTTTCTTCGTATTAATGTGAATAAAAATCAAAAGAGTGTTAAGGGCGAATTTCAGCTACCAGAGTCAGAAAAGAGAGCGTGGGGACAAAGCTGTAATTACGGGTATTTCCTATCAGCCGAAACCTGTGGGTGGAAGGGGAGGCAGTGAATAAGGCATATTCAATGGCATTAAAATGGGTTTCTTTTTCTGGACTTTAGCTCAGCACTGCAAATTAGCAGGGAGAAATTAAGCCTCCGAGTGAACGGGCAGAGAAGCCAAATTCTTTGTGCTACTCATTGCTGCTTTTTTTCCCTTTGAGAATTCAAATTCATAACAGCCCAACCTGCAGCTGCGTGCTGACAGGAGGATGCACTGCTTACCTGCCGTGGTTCTGTGTTCATGCCTCCACGTGCTGCTATCCCATTTTCCTTTCAGGACGGGCCCTGAAGACCATGTCCTGACTCCACAACCATCACTGGGCACAGACCACTGCGGGCACTTGGGAGAGCTGCTCCCAACACAGCCACTTCTCAGGGCTGGGAGGGACCATTCCAGACCTTAACAGCTCTCTGCTTATCACACACACATGAATTTCTCTTTTAAACAATAGCTATTCTGCAACCGACTGCCTATAGGAAAACAGGCACAATTAAAATGCATTTTTCTCACTGTGAAAACATATGCCTTGTGCTAACCAGGAGCGTTAGATCATAGATTTGAGTGATTCCAAAGAATAACGACATAAAATGTCTACTTAAATCTTATGGTATTTTCACAACAGTTAATAAATGGAGTGGTTTGAGGCTGCATCTTTTGTTAATGTTGAAACTACACATGAAACTGGCTAGGATGTCACTAAGGCAGAAAGTATTATTATCGTTATTGTAATTAATATCGTTGTTGCTATTAATGTAGGCTTGATCGGTTGCTCTGTAAACAAGGCATTCGATCTGAAGCATCTGCAACTGAGTGCTGTCACTCCGTTATTCTCTGACCCCCCTAAAATACTGCAAGCTCTAGCATGAAATCCTACTTAAAATAAAATCATAGCTCTAACTATTGCTTTGTTAATGGCTCCTACAGAGCCTGCTCTTATATGCAGTGATACTGATTTGTGTCATGTTACTGTTCAAGGTGGATTTTTGTTTTACTTGTTCTACGATGTGATTTAGTGTTTAATTCATACTCCTTCAGTCAACCGATGTGTACCACCAGAGCAGAACATTTCATTCCCATTTCTGTCAATGGGCAATGTTTTCCCTCTGTTTATGAGATTCCTCCGTTTAACCCCTACCAGCCCTCAAAGACAAGCAGACAGCAGCAAGCTGCCTATCCCAACCTGTGTGCCTGCAGCAACGCATTCCCATGCCGTCCCCCCATCCTCACCTCACTCACTGCCAGATCTGTCCCTGGACCCAGTGCCATGCTGCACAGGGTGCCCCTCTCAGCTCCTTCCCCCTTGGCTCTGAACTCCCTGGGGAGAGAATTGCACCTTTGTGTTTGCTTTATCAAAGAATGTGTCAAGGTACTGTCAGAACTAAATAACATTCCTCCCCCCCCCGATTTTTTTAATATCCTGATGCACGGAGTTTTATCATCAAGTTCTTTCTTGGTGAGAACACCCAACTCAGGTTTTGCTCTGCTTTATACGTGTTTCTTCTGCTGAGTGGTAGCTGCGACACATTGCTGATTGCTTTGAACTCAGCACGGTGCCAGCACAGAGTCCCTGGAAATGGGGCTTTGCTTGGCTCTCCCATCGCTGCTGATGTGTGTTGGGATCGCTGCTGGGAAACTCCCTATAGCAGCATTCAGGTGGGCCTCCCGCTGCTTCCAGAGATTTGGGCTAGATTCTTACAGTAACCACGATATTACAATAACCATTTGTTTTTCCCAGGCTCCAGCCCATCCCCGCACTCTGACCACGGCAGCCCTGGTGGGGAGGCCCAGCCATATACACAGAGATGGGGATTCCCTCTGCCCGCCCCAAAACCACCTTCATTCCAGGTGTTGGTTAGCTCGTCCCCTAGGAGCTATGTCTGCACCCTGCCAGCAGATGTGTTCTGATGGGAGAGCCGGGCTGCAGCTTCCCATGCCCGCTCAGGCCAGTTGCTCTCTCTCTTGCAGGGCGCATTCACGTTCCGCGGAAGCATGATAGACATGCCGCTGCTGAAGCAGGCACGGAACATTGTTACGCTTGCCACAGCCATCAAGAAAAAATGATCTGGTAAATGGAGCGCTCACCATGGGGCCACGGAAGCTTGTTTTAAAAGATGACTATAAGACTTTGGGGGGAAAAAAAGATAATCAAATGCATCACGCTTAAGCAGAAATTCATTGACGTTCTGCAGATCTGCCATAATTTCCTTGCCAGAATTGTTCATCGCTAACAGTGCTCCCGACCCAAAGCGCTGCTCGCTCTCAGTGCCTGCCATGGTGCTATGTCATGGCTGTGTGATATCATGGCTATGGGATTGTGGCTTCACGAAAGGACACCAGCAGGATTTGAGCAGTGATCTCCCCTCAAATAACCAGTGGACACCAGTCAGCCTTCAGTCTCCATTCCCATATCAAAGTCCATCTGAAAGTCGAAGCTCTGGCTAATCATACACCGGCTGAAATAAATGTGATGAAACTCACTGTCCCGCACAGGCTTCTCATTCCCCCCCCCCTCTCCCAGAAACGTATCTGTGTCATTAAAACACTGCTCCTACACAAGACTCTGGCTCTGCTTTCGGCAGCCGCGGTCGAGGCACGGTTCTCGGCGGCACAATGCAGCAGAACTCGTGCATATGGTCTCGAGTCAGATTTACATCACATTAGGGATACGGCGACAGGTCATGTGGGCCGTGTGGTTAACGGGCTTAGTAAAGCTGTTTTGAAGAGGTTAACCCAGCTTGTAGTAAGGGTAAATAAACATAACAACCGGGCATTGTCCTCTATTCAGCATGTACTCTTATATGGAGGGCTAAAGGGTATTGAAGCTGCAGAGGATCAACTTGTGGTTGCCAGAGGACTCCAATGAAGTTTGAAACACCAACAATCAGAGATTTTGTTTCTGTTCCTCATTAAATCATGAGCTTTTGTGCTCAGACTATGAACGACTGTTCTTTAAGAAATTAACAGAATGGGAAGTTTTAAACTATGCACCAACCTTTTCATGACCTACACAGCAGCAATGCTGCTGCACTTAGACAAACACCGCGGGGAAGGCTGTTCTGTTTATTTAAATTTGTAAATAGAAAACAGTTGTTTTTGGGTCTCATTCCTCGCTGCCTCCATGGCCGTTTTACGTAGGGAGTCACAGCACCTTCTCCCTCCCATCTGCTCTCTTCTTGTGCTTCCTGCACCTCGAGCAGCGCCTTTTGAACGCTTTGCTTAGTTCTGATGGAGGGGAGAGGAAGGGAAAAATTAAAAAAAAATAAGGAAAACAGAATCCAGCCTCAACCCAACACACCGTGCCTGGAGAGCTGCGGCTCGGCCAGGCCCCAGCGTTGGGGTATGTACGAGATGACCCCAGGGTCCGAGTGGCATGGGGCAAGCTGTCCTGCTGCACGGTGACTCATCCCAATGGTTTGGGGTGACCTGTCTCAGAGCAGGGTGAGCTGTCCCCATGGCACGGGAACTCCCAGGCTAATCAGATTAATGAAGGACTACCTTCCCAGATTGTATCTCGTAAGCCCCCCAGCCCTAGCCCTGTGAGTCCCTTTGTTATTAATTCTTGGATGACTAAATTACGGGTAGCGCTGTTAAAACATTATCGGGACTAATGAGAAACAATTACTTAGGAGATGATCTGGGACAGGCAGGGCCAGGCGCGTTTCTAGCTCTCCCCACAGATTATGTCTGTAAATCATCAGGTGCAGGGCAGCACGGGGGTGAGGCCTGGCACAGGGAAAGCAAAATAAGATACAGGGTCGGGATTTTTTTTTTTTCCTTTCGCATAATTTTTTCATTAATCTCAATAGGACCCGTGTGGTGTAGATTGTTTTAATTCCCTTCGTGCCATGTCGGGAGGGGGAGCGGATTCCCCCGTAACTCCTGCATTGTCCCAGCAGCCCCAGGGGTCCCGGCAGACCCTGGCCCCAAAAACTTCGTTCCAGAAGAATAGAGGACCCGATCCCATGCCTTCACCCCAGCACTGAGGCACACCCATTTTCCCCAAAGTCCCTCAGATCCCCTCCAGAACGTGGGAGAGTTCCGCGTTCATTTCCCAGCCCTAACGAGCTGCACTTTATAACAAATAAAATCCCATTTATTTGTTTCTCAGTTTACTTCTGGGAGCGCTACGTGCTTCCCGGCTTTATTCTGTCCCTCTTTCTCCCCTTCTCTTTCCCTCTCCTTCTCTCCCGCCCGGTGCCAGGCAGGCAATTGATGAAACAAAACAGATTATAAGATTAGCAGCGGGATTTTGTGCATATTAATGATAGGGAAGGGCGCCGAATGGGTTTGTAATTGCAGATCTCGCGCTCGGGATTGGGAACTGTAGCCCTGCTGCAGCAAAGACCCCCCTGTGAGGTTTTCACATTGGAACTTAGGGGAAAAGTGAAAAAGTAATTACCAGAGCACAACATTGAAATGTTAAAGCACTTATTCTTTCTTTCAGCGTTCTGTTTTAAAGGGGGAAAACAGGCAAAATGGAAAATAAATTACTTTCAAATAAGTAGGTTAGCACCTGAATGCTAGTGTGCATTTTCCCTTTTGCTGTTGCTTCTTTTTTTTTCTCTCCTTTCCTTTCCTTTCCTTTTTTTTTTTTTTTTTTTTTTATCAGATTCTACAATTATTGAGTAGGACGCTGCTCAAGCCGCCATCCGGGCAGCAGCACAGGGAAAGGGCAGGGGCACGGTGGCGGGGGCAAAGCAGCAGCCAAGGGCTCTTCAAAGCCGCGCTCGGAAATTTAGAGGGTTTTTTAAATTTATTTTTTTTTCTCCTTTGGTTTTGTTTTGAAATTGGGGCTTGAAAGGAAAAGATTGTTTTGGTTTCCTCTCCAACGCCGGCATCAAACGGCACTCTGGCAGGGATGCATTTCCCAGTGCAGTCCGTCACTGCGCTCCCACAGCACCGAGCAGTGCCCGACCCCAGGCTATGCCTCCTTCTGGGGTCCCAGGGACAACCTCACCCTCCTGGGGCAGATCTCCCAGCTCTGGGGTCCACACTCTCTCCCCACCGCCGCCTCACGTTGCACACACGCCCTGCTGCAATTCCGCCACCAACGGAAATCAATGAACCCAGGAGAAATGGGCTCTGAAAACTTTTTGTCTGTGTGACAGAAAAAGGGAGTACCTACTCCTAGGCAGCAATTCCTTATTTTGAACTGGGGGAAGCAGGGGGGAGGGGAAAAAAATGAAAAGCAAGCACGGCTTTGAGCACATTTCATCCATTTTCTGGCTATTTTGGAGAACCATACAGTGCGGGTCATCAGCTCCTGTTCTAAAGAGAGGGGTGGGGGTAAACTTGTGGGGTGAAGCATTGCCTTGTTTTCTTTTATCTTCAATCCCATTTCACCTCCCAGCCCTGAGCATCCCTCCCCAGGATGACAGGGGCAGGAGGGACTCCACTCCCCACCCTACAGGAGTGGATGCCCTAGCAGGGAGATCAGCATCCCACTGTTTTCCAGGGCTGCCGCTTCCCAGCACAGGGCTGGTACTCCCAAATCTGCTCTGCAAACCGATGCTGGGTCTCACACTTCTGATTTTGTTCCTATTTCTGCTATCAAAAATCCCCGCTGCTGTAACACTCCACTGGAGGAGTGGAAGGGAAGGATAATAAATTTTTTTTTAATTGCTTCCCCAGCTATAAATTGTCATGCATTGGGCTATTTTTTTTTTCCTTGAACAAAAGCACAATTGACAGTGGGGCTTAGGGAAAAACAAGAGGGGGCTTCGAGCCCCATGGCTCCCCTGTGCATTGAACCTGAGCCAGGGGGGTGGCTGTGCCCAGAAGTTGAAGGACACCGAGAGCTGCAACACAACAATAGGGATTTTTATGTCTCACCAACTGTTTTTGCAGCTGCATCTTGCCCCCTCCTCCTCTCCTCTCCCCCCATTATTCCATGTGAGAACCAAGTATGAAAATAGGAGCCGTGCTCTCTCTCCATCCTGAGCAAGTGTGCATAAATCCACAGAGGTCTGGGGCTGGTTGTTACCAGCAAGGGCTACGGGCAAGCACAGTGCTTGTTTTGCGCTTCTGTACTGCATTTTGCTCTTCTTGTCATGGATGGGAGGACATCACTGAAGCGTGCTGCTGGCATGGCTGGCCCTCACATCCCCACCTCTCTGTTTCCCAGCATCCCCTCCATGCACGCACCTGGACATCCCAAATCTCCCAGTAAAGCCTCATGTTCTCATACACCAGGAGCAGAGGCTGAGGGATGGAGATGGATGCGTGTTCACCCATCCCCTCCAGTGGGGATGTGCTGGGCAGAAGGGCAGGCAGAGCTCAGCTGACTTTGCAGTGGACGAAAATACAAACATCTGAACTATTTGTAAAACAAACTAACAAAATTAAAAAAAATTAAAAAACCATCCTCTTGAAGACCAGTTGCACCGTAAGTCACTAAAGAAAAGAAACAAGTTTTCTTTGAAGCAGGCTGGGTCAGCATCTGACACAGAGCCTTGATGAGGGAGTTGAACTAAGCAAGTCCCATGGTATGTTCTACCCTTATGTTTTGGTGATGCTCTGCCTCCTGAGCCTCTGCCCTTACTGCCTCAAGGAGCGGTGGGCACAGGGCCCTCTGCCACCCACAGGCAGCCCCAGCAAGTGCTGCAGCCACAGTGGGCAGCTGCCTCTTGGTGGCAGGCACAGGATTCACCTGTTCTGTGTGACAGAAATGCAGCCATGAGCCCACTTTAAGGTGAAAAGGCTCCTCTTACTGGGCTTAAGTTTATGACAGTATTTATATCCTTTAAAACTCTTTTTTTTTTTTCCAGTTTGCATCTTATTTTATAATAAATCCACTCCTGATGAATCATCACTGCATGCAACATGCAACCACGCAGCACAGGAAGCAAATCATTCCTTTTGCACTGTGGTGTGGAACAGAGCATTCACAAAAAGCATTCAAGTTCTGCCATTCAGTTCAATTTCAGGCTGATGTCCTGCCCTGATATCATTTTGGATGATTTTTAATCAGGTATACTCTCTGCCATTGCTCTTACATAAAACATCTTGCTGGCTGAACTGCGAAATGCTGCAAAGGCACCAATTGAAACAAAAAAGATATTGTCTAAACTGAAACGTGCCCCATCCCCAAACAGCATCCTGAGCATCCAGGTGGCGGGGGACATTTTTCAGCCACGTGCAAACTGTGAACCATATTCGAAATTAAGTCTCTGTATTAAAATCGGCATCTCTGAGCCTCCCGCAGGCAGCCGCCGCTGTTCAGCACGGTGACATCTTCCCTGGCACCGGCGGGCTGGGAGCTCGCGCAGGCATCGCCAAGCAATTTCCTACTGCTCTGCAGATATCAGGGCTTTACAGCAACGTGTGCTGAGAAAGTACAAGGAGTGCAAGGCGATGGGGGGAATGGGGAAAGGGCCGTGGGTGTTTTTGTCCTGCACACAAGGGTGGAAGCCGTTTTACAATCCTCTGTTAAAGCAGCATATTGCTGATGTCACAAATTATGTCATTTTTCAGCAAGCTGTTAGGGAGCAGCGGGATGCTTAGAGGTCCCAATCTGAGCGCACAGCTTGAGGCCTCATCATCCATTGAAATCAAGGAAACACTCCAGTCCCCCGACCTCTGTTTACAAATAATATATCAAGAATCAGGATTCCCACAAATGAACTTTCAGGCGCCGAGCTAAAGGAAAAAGGTGTATATATGCATACACACTCGCATACATGTATGTGCATATGTGTGTGTGGTGCAACTGAAGTCTGCAGTTTGCCACCAGGTTTCCTTTGAACAAGCATTTTCCATTCTTCCTTGGTGTCTGGAAGAGATGCTTCACCACCACTTCTATGGCCATTTCACACACAGAGCCCCATCGAAGTCAGAGATATCAGCATGTGAAGGGAGTACAGCCTAATCCCATTTGTTTCTACTTTTAAAAATAGTTGGGTTTTTGTGTGTGTCAAGTGCTTATATAATATAACAGAGGTCTGATTTATAAACATATGCATAAGAAGAGATGTATTGATACTGGAGTAGACTGTAAAAAAAATAAAACAGCAACAGAAATGTCCAAAGAGATTGCAATTGGTAGAGCAAACCAGTTTTTGAGACTCGCCTTCTCTATTTGGTGAGCCATATTTATAGACATACAGTCCCCCCACTAGAGTGGAATAAACCTCCGTGTCCTCCTGACACTCCACACATACCTAGTGGATTACAGTCTTCATTAAAAGAGAAAAAATGCCAATTACATGATCCGAGGTCATGGCACAACCCAAGAAAGGGAATTAAATCCAGAGCTAACCATGCCAAATCCATTGCTCTGTGCTTTTACCCCATGTGTTGGTGATAGCCAAGGCTGCATTATCCAGCCACAGCTCCCAGCCACAGCTGCTGCAGCACTGCCAGTGCTGCACGACCAGCACAGTGTGCTGGCAGGAGATGGAGGAGGTGGCTGTGCTCTGCTCTGCTCTCTCACTAAAATGACTTCAATATTTTGCTATTTATTCACCAGCGTAGTTGGCTGTACCTTCGCTGGATCGGCTTCTCCTCCACAGCATATCCCTGGTTTAATTACCTCTCCTTCTATCCCCCTCAATCTGCACAATAAATGCAGTTGCTTACAGAAACATGATTACAGGATTAGAGTTACTGGGCCCTCGCCCAGACAAACGCGGTGACAGAGCATAGCACTGGCACCTCCGAAAACTGCGCTGACCTCAGGCATCTGCACTTCAAAGGCCATGGCCACAATCTGAGCTTCATTAGCCTTCAAGGCTGACGTTACAGGAGCACTACTTCCTCAGCCACTAATGGGAAACACTCTCCTCCATTTGCTGTTGAGGTGTTAAAAGTTCCTCTTAATGTCAGTTACCGAGCCACAGCTCCACTGGTACCCAGTGATGCCTTGTGGGGCAGGGCTAAGCCTTTACCAAGGGCAGCACCCTCCTGCACCTAGGGGAAGGAGGGCTGTATATGGGTATGCCATCTCTGAGTGGCTGAAATTTGTGATGCATGCAGGGAGAGCTCAGCAGCTACCTGTGAGTCAGGGTAATAATTCTCCTGGTCGATCTGCACCTATACAAGAAAGCTTAGGAGACAACTGGAACATTTGTCTTTCTTCTGTTGTTTCTATCTACGTGTTCAGGGACACTGATCACTTGTGACTGTGTTTGCACAGTCCTAGCATGGTCATTCAGGGTTTGTAGCCATGAATCTAACAGAAAAGCAATACATGGGGGATTAGGCCACATCATCAGCTTGCACAAAGCAGCCAGGCTAGGTGTGCTGAAGAAAGCCTCAAAGTTTCCCATCTGTACAGAAGAAGAAAATAACATTTATCCCATATTTGAGAATATTTGGAAATGCTAGAAGACAAGGAAACCAGCAGATAGCTTTATACGAGGATGAAATGTCTGAAATGCTTTCTTCTGTGTCTTTG